ATGCAGAGAATGTTGTCTTTCACTGATTATCCTCCTGACTGTACACGCATCATAAAGGATGCTTTAGCTAAACATGAGGCTGCAAAGCTGGACTCCGTTTTTCACTATGGCAAATGGTTAAACTAAAGTATTTGAAGAATATGATTTGAGAAGGTGCTAGGATATTGATTTGTTCTCTAAAGAATGGGTCCCTCCCCCTTTCCTCCGTCCTGGTGGCTGGAACCAAGGAACCATTCTGGACTGTGAGCTGGGAGTCAGACATTAAGATTATGAAGTGAGAAAACGGTGGCAGACCCAGTTCCTGGTCCGCTGGCCAGATTTCTGAGGAATGTTGTTTGTCATGCAGCACCCTGGGAAAGCCTAGCTCATTTCAGCTCAGGTAAGACTTGTCACACAAGCATCAGGGCTGGGCGTTTGGAGTTCTGACTGAGCTTCTGTCCTAATGCATCCCCACCCCCATTATTGTTCCCTCTCCTAATCCTGCAGCTCAAGTGTTTGATCTTCCAGGAGCAGTTGTGGGACAGAAAGCTCCGTAATTGCTCACATGATCATTTCCTTCTTCATTATGGAAATCTCAATTTGATATTAAGAATCATTTAAGCTAAAAGATTTTTTCCCCCCAGTATCATTTGCTAGGCTCATCTATGTGATCTGGCTCTGGCCAGGGAACCTGTGGCCCCCAAGAAATAACACCCAGATTAGAAGTTTCATGCTAAGGAAAGCAAAACAGAGATTAAGACAGTGACCAGGGTCCTGAAGATACCAGGAATCACCATGCCAACTCTGTGCCCCCTACCTCTTTCTTTCTGAGCCCTATGATCTGGATTCCTTACTATATGCTGCTGAATCCAATTCTGGCACACGGTCTTATCAAGGGGGCTCAGTAAACTAAAGGCGGGATTTTAGGAAAGATCTAACAACCTCAAGACCCCCTGCACTTACTACCCCCTGAACAAACATGGAGAGGGTACGAATGTGAGGAAAGGAAACAAGAGGAAAAGGGGAAGGACACAGACTGCTCGGGCACCTCCAGGCAGGCACTGCTGCTCCCGCCTCAGGAAGAGGCTCTTAGTGCAGATATTAGAGCAGTGGGTCCACAGCAGGTCCATCGTACCATACGCTTTCAGCTGTGTCCGGACAAACAGGGTTTCCATCCTCCCTCCAGCAAGGCCCGTGACCTATGCTCCCAAGTTAGAAAGCAAACAGACAGAAGAAAGCTCAACCATCCTGCTATTGGCAAACCACTCACCCGTACAGAATTCCCACCTGGAAGTCTGGAATATGTATTGGTTAACACAGAAAAAAAAAAAATTAAGCTCACTTATAGAAAACTTACACACAATAGAAAGAAAATAACGAACTAAACCCATATAAAATGAGATGGACTTGACAGATTTATAGTAGGACACCCAAATGATCATGCAAACGAGGCAATATGGAAGTATGGCTTTACGTATTTTGAATTCTAAAAACTGACATGGAATAAGGAAAAGTTAACTTTTAAAAGGGCATTTTGTATCAATCTCTCTAAATCGCCTCCACTCCCATCCTTTTTTCCTGTCCCCAGAAGCTGTTCTTTGCTTCAGTTCCCTTACAATGTAACCCTGGCGGGACTGATTTGTCAGGGAGGCCACAAAATGTCCAGAGTTCTGGTGAGAGACCACCTCTTTGTCTATGTTAGGGGTCACTCACTCCCCAAATAAGATGCTGCTACAGTGAGCCAGGTAAGAGGTGAAAAGGAGTTGAGTGGTTGTCCTGAAACCTTCAAACCATGAGTGAGCAGTGGAGCAGGAAAGGCTGTCATAAGAAAAATAAAAGCAGGAACATAGCAGAAAGATTAGGTGGATGAATTCAATGGATTTGTATGCATCCCCAGGCTCCTGTGTTGAAGGTTTTGTCCCCTGTAAGATGTGAGAGGCAAGTCAACCTCTAATAAATGAGTCTACTTAGGTGGAATTGCCATTAAGAGTGTCTCAATTAAGAATTAAACCATAGAGCCCAACGCAGTGGCCTAGCAGCTAAAGTCCTCACCTTGAACGCACAGGGATCCCGTATGGGCGCCGGTTCTAATCCCACTTACTACACTTCCCATCTAGCTCCCTGCTTGTGGCCTGGGAAAGCAGTCGAGGACGGCCCAAAGCCTTAGGACCCTGCACCCATGTGGGATACCCGGAAGAAGTTCCTGGTTCCTGGCTTCAGATCAGCATAGCATCGACCGTTGCGCTCACTTGGGGAGTGAATCATCGGACGGAAGATCTTCCTCTCTGTCTCTCCTCCTCTCTGTATATCTGACTTTCCAATAAATAAATAAATAAAATAAATATCTTAAAAAGAAAAAAAAATTAAACCATAGGGACTGGCGCCTTGGCCTAGTGGCTAAATCCTCACCTTGAACATGCCGGGATCCCATATGGGCACCAGTTCTAATCCCAGGAGTCCTGCTTCCCATCCAGCTCCCTGCTCGTGGCCTGGGAAAGCAGTTGAGGACATCCCAGGGCCTTGGGACCCTGCACTCACATGGCTCCTGGCTTCAGATCGGCACAGCACTGGCTGTTATGGTCACTTGGGGAGTGAATCATCGGGCGGAAGAGCTTCCTCTCTGTATATATCTGACTTTGCAATAAAAATAAATAAATCTTTTAAGAAATTTTAGTTGCAAGTTGTTAGAAAAAAGGAAGTCTGACACTTCCCACTTTTTTGGTTTTTTTAGAGAAAGGAGATAAAGGTCTGCCAACTAGTTTACTCCTTAAATAGGAAACAGCCAAGGCTTAGCTGATCCAAAGCCAGGAGCTTCTTAGAGGGTCCCTCATGTGGGTATAGGAACCCAAGGACTCCAGTCATTCTCCGTTGCTTTCCCAGACTACAAGTAGGAACTTGATCAGCAGTGAGGCAGCCAGGACACGCAACGGCAAGCTCCACCCTCTTCTTCTTGTTTCACAACGTGATCTCTCCCTTCAAACAGGCTCCAAGGAACGGCAGCTACAGCTAGGTGCTCACCAGAGGCCAAAACAATGGAACAACTCAGTCTGTTAGATTTTCAGCTTGCAAACCTGTCAACTAACTTTTCTTTTCTTTTAAATGGCTTGTCTTACACATTTTGGTTAAAAAGTGAAAACCAGATTACCGTAGTGATCTTTTTGGAATTACCTAATTTAAATTTCCAAACTCAAAATTAGAAGAGTTTTACAACACCTAATGACATAATGCTTTTCATTTCAGTGTTTATAGAAGCCTGGGTTCCTAAGAGGCATCAACACACACGTATGACACCTGAGGCTTTCCTGGCAGCCTGAGAACATGTATCAAAACTAAGAAAAACAATACAGTGGACCCCACAAGTCCTCCCTGCGTGAGAATCACAAACCATAAAAATGATTCTCTGGCCTCCGCAGGCTCAAGTCCTCGTCCGTCTCTTTTGCATCCCACTCCAACCCAAGCAGGACCCTCAAAAGGAGATCACCTGAAAACCCAAATGCGGCTGGACAACGAGGCAGTAAGGGAAAGAATGGAAAAGGCCAGCACCAGATAGCACTACAAGTACAGGTCCCATTAAAACCCAAGCTCCAGCCTGACATCTGACCCTGGAAAAGTAAACTTCTCATTCCCATTTAGCCACTGGTGAAACCCGAGTGAAACAATATCACTCAGGGATGTTGATGATAAAATAAGCTGATGAAGTAATTTTTCCTTACCTTTAGGAGGAACATTTCAATACCGCTGGTGGATGCACAGAACTCGATACAGATTATTTTTTCCTACACATATAAGTTTAACTTATAAATTCGTTAGGAAATTAATAAAACTAAAAGGATATATTCTAAAAGATTGTATAAATGTCATTCCTCTCTGAAAATACTGTAACATTATCACCCTTCTCCTGTTATAATAATACAAGATACGAAACTTACCTGATGATAAAATGAGATGACTGGCATGGGTGCTGCAATCTAGCAGTATTCTACTGATATGACATTGAATCAAGAGGGTCATCTGCTTGGAATGGGACTATTAAATGGAAATGCAAATTCCATTTAATATTTGTAAACCACAGCTGATAAAAGTGGGACGACTGTATCATTTTAGGTCAGTAAGACTAGCACACTTGGTTAGCAATTATTGCTAAGGTGGGAAGGCTATGGAATCTGGACGTCAAATTACTCCAACGTAATTATCAGGCCAGATATGCCTCCAGTCTGGATCTATTTCCCCATCAGGAAATAGCGGATAGTAATCATCTCCCTTACTTAATTACAACTAAGTTTAATGTCCAAAAACTACATGGGAAGGCAAACACTAACACCATACGGTCTGAGAGGTTAAAAATAAACATGTGACATTGATTCCCTCTTTACAACCCACATTCCTGAATCCAGAAGGGACACAGCCAGTGATGCCTTCTCCGACCTCACCGCCCTGGGCAGTCAGGGACTGCCACCATCTGGTGTGAACATTCTGCTTTCTGTAAACAAAGTCACTCAGCCTGGGATTTCCCACTCATGATATCAAGTAGGTGGTTGAAAATCTTCACTTCAAAATAATAATGAAGAGATCAGAATGTGTTGAGTATGATACAAGCATATAAAATGTCAAGAAGCATGTGTTTTCTGTATATTTGTTCCTGGAATGCTGGTGTCAAAGTCATTCTTAAAGGGATCACTGTCAGGAGGCTTAAGTATCCTTGCTGGGATAGGCAGGGCATTCTGGGATTCCTTGGCAGATCAATGCAGCCTAATCCAACACAGCGCACCTAGAACAAAGCAGCTGCTGAGTTTAGATGAGCAGGACGGGAGCCTCGGGGTTCCTCATTGTCCCCCACCTCTCTACCCATCAATCCCAGCCCTCTCAACTGTCCTGTGGTTTGGTTCCCTTGCTTCTCCAGTCACTTGGCTTCCTTCCTGCAACCTCCCTCCCTCTTCCTTCTTTTTTTCCTTTCTTCTAATACTCTTCATTTCATATTCCAGGATATGTATACACACACACACACACACACACACACAGTATTTTTCAGACAATTTAGCCTTTATTTTTGAAAATAATTCTGTAGCTTTCACTTTTCATCCATGAAATTGAGGCAAGAAAATAAAACACAAACACACACACACACACACACACATACACACACATTCCTCTCCAACCAGTATCTGCATCTTAGCCTGTGAGGACATGGGAATGTCTTGGGGAAGGTGGGCAGGACCTGGTTCAGGGCCAGAGCTTGTCCTGTTCTCTATCTCATGACAAAGGGTCAGCAGAAGTCACAGCTTTTAGGAAGCAGCCTGTGCACAAAACTCAGGGAGGAAGGACCACGGGGAACCGACTAGCATGATGCCCTCCAAAGCAACAGGGAGGAAAGGAACTATTTTAGAAATGAAGGGGTCAAAGAATACCTCCTTGAGATGGTATCCTTTAAGCTTCCACCACCTTCCACTAGCCCACCCCAACCCCTTAAGTGGGCATGAACTGATGAGAGCTTCTGCTTCTCCCTCCATTTATCTTGGAACCAAAAGATGCTAGGTTGAAGACAGAGGTCAGAAATAAGGAAAGAACAGGAGGCATTATCCCTGACGACCTCCTAACAGTGCACAGACCCTGATAATGGTGTCCCTTTGGCTTCTGTCTTCCTAGCCACAAATACGTCCACTTCTGTATTCCACACTCCTAAGTGGAAGGTAAAAAGAACAGAACAAGAGGGTTAATGCTCTGGCTGAAAGACTAAGAGGGAAGGGCTGATCAAAAAAACTAAAGTTGCTAACTCCTCTGCAGATGATCTAGGAGAAAAAAAAAAAATCAGCAAAGGGACATTTCTGGCCCCCAACAGCCCATTCATCTCCAATCACACAGTGGTATTCTGCTTAATGCACCAAACAGACTACAGAGCGGATACCCAGACCTAACTTTCTTGAGAACAAAAGAATCCTCACCTCACCTTATCTGTGCACTCAAAAATGCCACACTCAGAAGGAAAAAGGAAAAAGGAACTCAAGGAGACAGAAAACATGATACAGTCCAGGGAGTACCCTTAGCTCATGAAATGGCAGCGAAGGAGCTCACGCGGAACAAACAGAAGCTGCTAAGTCCAACTAGGATCATAGCCATCCCAGGTCTGTGGGGGTGCCAGGTGAACACGGCGGCCCCGAAACTGGAAGGTGACAATGCCCCGGTATCCAGCCCTGGGCACCCCTGATTTGAGGTCATCCATGACACCCAGGGCCTTGGCAAAGGCCTTGAAACTGTCCCTGCCTGTGTACTGTACTCGCACCTCTCCTAGCTCCTTCCGTTCATTGGTCCTCACTTTTTCCACCTGTAACTGAGGAGCACCATAAACACGAGCAAGGAAATCACGGTCATAGGCCTCTTGCTGCAAGTATGACAGGTCCAGCTGGGTGAAGGGTACAAACTGCTGGTTCAGCTTGATGAACTTGAGATGCTGGTCAAAGAACTGCCCGTGGCTCACACCCTTCCGGCCAAAGGTCATCGTTCTTGAGATCTCCGGGCGCACACAAGCTCGCCCCTTTCTCTGCTCAGGCCGGCGCATCCAGTCATCCCAGAAAGCTTTCGGCCACTTAGGCTCCAGTTCATCCCAGAGCTCGGCCAGCAGTAACCAGCCTAGGCCAGGAAAGAAGTCAGTGCGGTAGAGTAACTCTGGTTTGCTCGAATCTACCATCTGTTCTTTCCCATTGTCATTCCAGGCAGATACACACCACAGGGAGGGGTCTGCTTTCAGCAGAGGGTAGGTGGCCTGGAAGTATTCAAAGAAGTCTGGTGCCACCTCCAGGTCATCTTCCACAACCACAGCTGCTGGGTAGTTGAAATTGTGGAATATCTGGCCCAGTGCCCAGCGGTAATGACGCGCAATCTTGTAGTAGCCCTGAAACTTGCGGTGGTCAGGCTGTACAGGAATGTTGCTCAGGTCGGGCTGCCGGATGTGTGTGACTGCACTGCCATAGGAAGCAATGACCTGGGCTGTTTCCTCGTGCCCACAATCCTGACTGACAATGATGGGGAAAAGCTCAGCTGAAGGCCGATAATGCAGCAGCTTGTCCAAACAGCGCCGGACGGTGCTGCGGTCACAAGCAATGACCAGGATGGGGATCACATCTGGTGATGGGGTCACAGGCACATGCGGCTGAGCAGGAGGGGCTGCAGTAGGCACCTTCCACCGCCGGCTCCACAGTGCATGATGCTCCCTAATCTGCTGCAACAGTCCCCGCTGACGCTCCAACTCCACCTCGGCATCCTGAGCCAGGCGGATCACCTCACGGGTGAGGCTGGCGGGGTCATCATCGAGAGCGCTGTCTGACGGCAGCCTGCCAGGAGCCGGACGCGTCCAGAAGAAGAGGAGCAGCAGGGCATTCCAGGCCACAAAGAGGACAGCACCCCACAGCACAAGCCCAGCAGACTGCTTCTTCAGCATCCTGGCCCCCACGGGGGAGGCAGGCAAAGGTGGGACTTGAGGCTGCCGTCAGCTTATCTGCTGCACTCTCACAATTCTAGAGATGCTCCCTTTGTTACAGGATTAGAAAGCAGCCACGCACCTAAAAAGAGAAAAAAAAAAAAGTTACTGCAAGGCATGAGGCTCCACACCCCTTTGGTGTAGAGAAATGCGAGTAAGAACAGGCAAAAACGTGAGGGGAAACAAAAGAGAAGGGAGCTGACTTCAGAGTCCTCATGGAGAACAACTAGGCTTCTCTTCATCGAGAGAGTCGGCCTGCACCGGAGAACAGGCCTGGAAAGACAGCATGCTCCACCAACCGGAAGTAACTGATGGATCCCAAGAAAGCAATTTTTTTAATATATATATTTGTATTAATTACACAGCATTATGTGACACAGTTTTATAGGCTCTGGAATCCCAGGAAAGCAATTTATGTTTGGGGGAGAGTGGAGGGTGAAGGGAGAGCATGGAACAACCCAGCGTCCCTTTTCCCTTGCTTTTCCTATCTCCCATGCAGAGGACAGGGACAAGAGTATGAGGTAAGATCATCTGCCCACCATCCTTCAAATGAAACTGCCCTAATATTATTGATTCAAAAAATGCCTCAGGACTAACACTAGTACTTTACCTAATAAGGAGACACAGAGGCATTGCCATGCATATCAGGAGCAAACCCAAGCTGCCCAAGAGCTCCAAGTACTGGGGGAATCAGCCAGTGTAACTGCAGACTACAATTAAAACTAGAAATGAGAAAGAAGAAAACGAGGCCCATACTGAAAACATATCCAGAAAACTCTAGAAGAATCAACGATACAACTACACCAAACACTGAGAAAGTCAGAAAAATTTACATGTAAAACTTACTCTTCCAAACCATAAATAATAACTCATAAGACATAATGGATAAGAAAAACCTATTTATAAAAGCTATGGAAAGGCTACAACATATAGAACTAAGTTCAACAATAAACATTTAAAACGTACATAAACTAAACTATAAATTCTGAAAGACACAGAGGATTTGAATATTCTTTGTTTTTGGTTAAGACATCTAAGCATCATCAAAAATCTCAAAAAATGTACCTCCGTGAAAGCAGGTATTCAAACTGACAGTGAGGTTCACATGAAAGACTAAAGAAATGAGACAATGAGCTGTGAAGAGATTAGCTTTGCAATACATTAAAACAGTACACAATACAAAGCTCTTACAAGTTAAAAAAAAAATTGCGGTACTCATATAAAAACAGGCCATTATTGGGAAAGAATTTAACTCCCAGAAACAGATCCTCTACACACAGAAATCTAACTTATGACAAAGGTAATATTTAGAACTAACAGGGCAAAAATATCTTGTAAATAATTATTTACCCATTTGTCAGAAATTAAAAATAGACCCACAAGAATGTTTTTCAAGTGTATCAGAGATATAAATATAAAAAAAAAATAAAATTACATAAGTGCTAGGAAAAAAAAGGGGAAAATTCCTCTGTAAATTGGGTCAGAGAAATACTTTTTAAGTATAATTCAGAATCAGATGCAGTTTAAAAAAGACTGATGCATTTCACTACCTGAAATACTTTTAAAATAAAAATATAACAAGCCAAAGACAAACGACAAATGGGGAGAGAACCGTTGCTTTGAACATCACAAGTACTAGCAGATGAAGAATATTTAAAAACTGGGGAGAAAACACCAAACATTCTATAGAAAATGGGTCAAAGACACAAATAGTCCAAGAAATATGTATTAAGCGTAAGGTTTTAGATATGAAAAAATATTCAGCTTCCCTCAGAATAAGAAAAAAAAAAATGAAGGCTAAAATTACCGATATACCACTCACTTAACTATACTAGCAATACTCAAAAATTTGCCTTTTTTCTTTTAAAGATTTTTTTTTTTTTGTAATTTATGTGAAAGGCAGAGTTGCAGAGAGGGAGACAGAGTGTGCATCCATCTGCTGGTTGATTCCCCAGCTGGCTGCAACTGCCGAGGCTGGGTCAGCCAGGACCAGGGCCAGGAGCCAGTAGCTTCCTCACACATGGTTCATGCTTCGCTGCCTGCTCAGGGAGAGGCAGAAAGGAGCTGCAGTGGAAGTGGAACCACCAGGATTAGAACCAGCACTCATATGGGATGCCAGTGCTGCAGGTGGAAGCTTAACTAGCTATGTCACAAGGCTGGCTGCCCCTTCTTGAGAAAATTATTAATGTTGATTACCTTCCATTATCATGGAATTTTTTTCTCTTATGGATCACACCTAATCTCAAAATAATTACAACACAAGATATGAATAAACAATATACATAAGTATATACATAATTTTATTTTTATTGGAAAGGCAGATTTACAGTGAGAATGAAGACAGACAGACAGAAAGATCTTCTAATACCTGCTGGTTCACATCGCCTAAGGACCACAAAAGCTGGAGCTGAGCCGATCCAAACCAAGAGCCAGGAGCTTCTTCCAGGTCTCCCTTATGGCAGAGTCCCCAGGCTTTGGCCTTCCTCCTCTGCCTTCCTACGCCATAGGCAGGAAACTGGGTGGGAGGTGGGAGTATCTGGGACACAAAACAGCACCCATACGGATACGAGCATTTGCTAGCGGAGGATTAGCCAATTGAGCCATTGAGCCAGGTCCATCAAAAATATATTTTAAAAGGAAGAATTATGATTCTTTTTATATAAAACTCTGAAAAACAGAAACTAACCTATACTGAGACCTGATCAGTGGTTTTAACGGAAAGGGGCAGAGATGGCCACTGGGCAAGGTTTTTAAAGGTGTATTAGGAAATTTGGGAGAGAGTGGGCATACTAGTTATTTTGACAGTCTCTCAGTATCTACATATGTGAGAGCTTACGAAATTACACATTTTAAATATGTATGGGTTACTGTTCATCAATTACAGTTCCAAGTAACTTCATGAAGAAAAAAAAAGGGGCAGTATTGAGTTAAACGACAAAAACTAGACTAGAGAAAATAGGTTACAGTTACCAGCGCTCACCGATAACTGCTGTGCTCATGTAGGAGAGCTGCCCGATCCTCAAGGATTACCTACTGCAGTATTTAATGGAAGAGAACCAGAACAGATGCAAACATGGAGAGAGATTAAGGGAGAGCAAACATGTGCAAAGTAAACAAAATATTAACAGGCAAATCTGAGTAAAGGGAATTATTGATCTCGTATTTTTATTTTTTAAGTTTTTTTTTTTTAAGTTTTTTTTAAGTTTGAAACTACTTCAAAATAAACTTTCTTAAAAATCAAACACAGAGGAGCTGGCGCTGCGTAGCAGGTAAGCCCACTATGGCTGTGTGCCAGTTAAGAGACCCAGCTACTTGACTTTCAGTTGTTCGCTCTGAGTGTGCCTGGGAAATCAAAGGTAGATGGCCCAAGTGCTTGGGCTCCCACACCCCAAGGGCGACCTAGAAGAAGCTCTAGGCTCTGGTCTGGCACAGCCCTGGCTATTGCACCCATGTGGGGAGTGAAACAGCAATGGAAGATCTCTTTTTCTCCATCTCTCCCATCTACTCCCCACCGCCTCTCCCCGTCTCTCTTTCTGTAACTATGTCCTTCAAATAAATAAAAAAATAAATCTTAAAAAAAATCATGCATGGGAAAACAGCACACAGCCCTGGAGTTTCATCTACCAATATGGCCCAGGTAAGGGAATGGAGACAACTCACTGGAATTCCTCACTCAGTGACATACAACACAAACCTGCTCTCTGCCAGGCTCCAGGAAGGAACCAAGATATACAACCTACAAGAAAAAGACATATTTTCACCAAACCACCACATCACTAGATCCCCAATACTTGAAAGGATCTGAGACACCCTCCAATTCTCAGATGAGCTGCCACTCCAGACCTTGTGACGTCCTGGCCTTTCTGTTTTTGGTCTCAATCCTTTACATCCCAAAGCTTTATGTACACATGCTCTTCTGCCAGTTATATTCTGTTTCACAGTCCAGCTCTATATTCCCAGACAAAACCTTGGATTCCAAAGCGAATCCCTAGGGCTCTGAATTCTCTAGACAGACTGCAAAGCTTGATCCTGCAGAATTTCCACCAGTCCTGAACTATGTCCTTCCTAGGGAGTTCTCCATGTTCCCCTGTCCCTGCCAGCATCCACCACCACCACCCACAACTCTAGAACAGCAGTCCTGTCAGAAACCCTGAGCGCAATTTCATTTAAATACTAATAAAGTCCTTTTTACAAGGGCTCTCATACTAATTAGTTTCCAGGAAAAAGAGAAAGAAAGATACATAGATTTCTGGTTTCTTTACACCCCAACAGGATGCGGTCAATGCTGGAAACTGTTCTCTAATCTATGGTGAGGATGCCCCATTCCACCTTCCCCCTTCCTAAGTAACTAAGGAAGAAAAAGTCTTCAGGAAAAAGGATTGGGAAAAGAGGAGAGACTGAATTCTATTCGTCGATCAGCTGTCTTCAGGGTTAGAGAAACAACCTGTCCACCCTCACACTCGCAAGCTCCAATTAGTGACAAAATGCTGGGGACCATATCTGTCCTACAGATGACTTTTCATTCCTCTCTAGGCACTGGAATTATGTGGCCATACATTCACTCATTACCCAAGGCCTAAGAGATTGCCTTCCCAACCCTTCAAAACTATGAAATAAAAGTAACTGCCTTCTCAGTCAACTGGATTCTCAGCAAATCTATACACTACAGTGGTTGGACTGCCCTCTAGACCAGCACAGGCCTCCAGCACAATTCTGACACCAGAAGTACAAAACTTTTGTCTTGCCAAGGCCAATTAACTTTATAATTAGCTTGCTATGTATTTATTTTAAATTTCAAGTACTGTCTGAAGTTTCCCTGACAGAGCCAGACCAAGGCATTTCCCGGCCCTGCCTTAGACCCTTGCTCCCCATCTAATGGTCCTTTTATGTAAGTGTGCCAACAAAACCCACTTCCTTTGCCTTAAGAAGACATGACAACTTTAAATCCAGCCCCTCAATGTAGACTCATTCAAAATCTTACTGCTGTCTTCCTCCTATTTATCCACTCTTCATGGCACTTTTGTCTCTAAGATCCTGGGATGAGCACCTAAGCAAACCAAGCAGGACATAATACTCTCCAGGAACTGTCTGTGTCCAGAGGGATGATCAAATCCATATATTGGCCTGCAGACCTGATCCACTCCTCCAAGAAGCACTCACTAATCAGGCTTACTTAGGCCACCAACAGAAGACTATGAGAGTAACAAGGACAAGCCAAAGGACACAAAGGGAACGCTCAGCATTACATCTTTAATTTTCACATCTTGGAAACAATTTTATCACCTCTAAGATGGAGACTGTAATAGAATATCACCTTGAACTGTTGTGAGAGTGGGATAAAATAATCCAAGTCAGATGTTTAGAACAGAGTCCAGTGTGAGGTACACAAAGCAGAAGTTACCAGATAAGAACACGCCATGAGGAAGAAGATGGTTTACCAGGAGGTAACACCGCCAGGTGGTTTTCAAGAGAGCAGCAACAAGCACTATGAGGAACTTCCTTTTTATCGGAATGAACAGAGGAGGTAAGCTTAGGGGCAGGAACAGCCAACAGCTAGGAGTTGGGGAGCTGCAATGCCCTAGCTGTGGGGCTGCAATGCCGGTTCCCAGAACCCAGAGGCGAGCTTTGCTTTGGGAAGCAGCTCTGTAAAGCAGGGATAGGGTGCTGACCAGTGACTAAACTGCCTGCTGACCTTATATCCAGCACATGACACCGTAACTGTTATCCAGCTATTTGTCTCTCCCCACTCTTTGTGCCACTCCAGTAGACTTTTTCTAATACCTCTATACCCACTTGTACCCCAGGCCCTTAAATGCGCCTGCAGGCCTAGTCTGCTTGCTCTTCCTTCCCTTCACCAGGCATTCCCTGATTCATATCTTGGCCAGGACTTCTCCTTGATGCTTCTGGATGATGCGAAGTTCACCTCCCCTTCATAGCCATGAGTAGCATGGGACTAGAATAATGTTCCCTGGTTCCTGGCTGTTGCAGTCATCTGGGTAGTGAATCAGTGAATGTAAACTCTCTCTCTTCCTCTTTAATTCTTTCAAAAGCCACCAATTCGCACGAAAAAAAAAAAAAAACAAAAAACAAACAAACAAACAAAAAAAAAACCAAAAAAACCCACCTTGAATTCATGATGACGAAGTACAGTGGCCTCACAGAAATGGACTCAAACATCCTTTTTCAACTATATCTCCAACCACCAGCCCCAGAGACCCCCCACTCTGGATTCAACTGGCTACTCGAACTATTCAATAGTTCTACCATTGTTAGATTCAACTATTGTTTCCTCCAATAGTTACATTCACACACTGCTGTCTGCTCCAGCTGGTATCTCAGCATGAAATTTTACCCACAACCCTGCTGGCAAACTACCCACACATTCTTCAAGACTCTAATCAGGCAACTCCTTCTGTAACATCCCAGAGTCAGGCCCCAGCATAACTGCACTCCTACAGTAATCTCTCCACATTGTAATGGAATCTGTAGCTATAACTTATGTGGCACTCACTTCACTTTTACACAGAAAGATTCCATGACCTCTATGCCTACCATAGTGATTGGGACATTATGAAGTTCAAGTTTATGCTCACATTATGACAAACTGCTCTCAAACAAAATCAAGGAGAAAGAACAACAGGCTAGCATCAAGCAGAGTGAAAGACTGTACTTCCCAAACACGAACACCACACACTCCCTCATGCTCTTCTTGTAAAACAAGAATGGCATTCCTCTCTCGGTAGCTAAGGTGCTACATTTTCCCCCTTTTGTTTCTAAGAAGAGCTTAGACTCTGGAGGTGACACTGTGTGGACGGCAAGAAAGTTCATGAGATGTAATCGTTGCCAGTAAAACGCTTGCTTTTGGACACTTGTCACACAGGCAGGAGATTCACAGGTGCCAAAGCTGAGCATCTCAGCCAAGATACCTACTGACGGCTAGCATTCACCACCAGGCAAGGGAGGAAGCCTTCATTTTACTTCAGAACCCAATCCCATCTGACTGCAACCACATGAAAGACAACCAGGAAGAACCATGTAATGTAGATATTAATAAGACGATTTTCCTGTTCTAACCATTAAAACTATTCACTGTGCATGTATCTAAAATAAATATTTTAGAGTAAAATACAGGCCTGCCGCCATAACCCAGTGGCTAAAGTTCTCGCCTTGCATCTGCCAGGACCACATACGAGCACCAGGTCATGTGCCAGCGGCCCACTTCCCATCCAGCTCCCTGCCTGTGGCCTGGGAAAGCAGTCAAGGATGGCCCAAAACCTTGAGACCCTGTACCCACGTGGGAGACCTAGAAGGAGCCCCTGGCTCCTGGCTTTGGATCAGCGCAGCTCCAGCCACTGCAGCCACTTAGAGTGAGCCAGCAGACAGAATATCTTTCTCTCTGTCTCTCCTTCCTATTAATCTGATTTTCCAATAAAAATAACTAAATCTTTAAAAAAAATAAAAGTAAAATACAATCTGAAGTGCTCCTCTCTGTCCTTTATACTCAGGTCCCAAGTTAAAATTCTCAGGCCCTTTCTATTTACGCCCTCTTCTTTACCAAGTATCTACAGCTAAATAATACATTACCTCAAAAGTCACTGGGTTAAAACAGCAGCAATCATTTATTATTTCACAATTTCTATCTTTCAAAATGCGGACAGTACATCAGAGAGGCCGATACTGGCAACAACTAGGGCATCAGTTGTCCTGCAGAAGCCCTCCACGTGGTCTCTCCACACAGCAAGGAGCTTCCTGTACAGATGATGGCCCAGTACCAAAAGTGAAATTTCCAAGAAAGATAAATTTGTATCTTATTTCCTAGTCCTGCCTTGGATCACTTTTGCCTTATTTCCTGGTTACGGAAATCTCTACTCCCTGTTCTCATTTGAAGGGAGACCCACAAACTTCACCTTCAGGCCAGAGGAAGAGAATGTCAAACTCTAATAGTTAAAATGGAAAATTTACGGGTGCGACCATTTTGGGAAAATATAATCTATCATACCCTTTTCAAAACAACTCTCCTTAATCATAACCTGAGTTTCTATTATTTATGAGACTTGCTTACGCAGCACAAACTCAAAAACTGGCTCTGATTTTAAAAGTCTTTTAGGGAAGTGACACAGCTAGTCTGAAGTAACATGTGTATTAAACCAACTAAAGCCCGCGTAACTCAGGAAGGTACTCTGGGGCCCTCTCGGTCTGCACTGAAGCACCGTGGGAGAGCAGAAGAGCTGCGAGATCCCTCTCTCATTCTGATTCCAAAGTATTTTCCAGTCCGTTTTGCCTTATCAGCAAAAACATTTGTGAAACAGCAAGTGAACACCCAGATAGTTAACTTATTATAAGCAAAAAGCCACTGTGACTTAAATAAAAGTGGAAAAAACACTGACAGACATTCTTATTTCTGCCTTGCTCAGTAAAAAAAAAAAAAACAAAAAACACAGCTTTAAGGAAAAGCCAGAGTACAATACACAAGGCAGATAATGGAACACTAAGTCAATTACCTTCTTGTGCCATTATTAGACCCCTCTTATACTCCTGTATCATGTACCAGGCTCCACAATTTCAGAAGGAAAGGACTGAAAGGGAGTCAGAGAAGTTACACTAAATAATTCATGAACTTAAGAGAATTAGACCTGGGAGGGAAGGGGCACGGGTTATTCATCTGGGGGAAAACAGGCCAATGGGAAATACAACGCCAGGATAGTGAAACGCCTGGAGATCTGCATGCCAGCAATCCAGCAGCAACCGGAATGCCAGGTAACTCTGGAGAAAATCACCTGATCCCACGTGTGCCTCAGTTCCCTCATCTGCAGAGTGACAGGGTTGATTTGGATCAACTCCAAGGTCCCCAGTCTCTAGATGAAAAGAGGGCAAATTTTCCCAGGGCCCTAAAGAAAAAAAAAAAAAAAACACAATTAATTTGTCATATATGTCACTTCAGTCAGAAACATTACTGTTGCCTTTTAATGCACTGTGAGATTAAGTCACAGAAGTAGGGGTACAGATAAAGCTCAGTGGTCCCCAATAAGGGAAAGATTCAAACAGGTGATTCACTAGGGAAGACAGACGCTGGCCCAATAGAAGCGTGTGAGAGCAGAGGCTACATGACGTTCAGATATGATAAAAGCAGGACACGAAGCAGGGAAACATCTGAGCAAGCGATGTTCCAAAGCGAAGAATGAATACACCACAGTAGCAAAGATGTTTCACCCTTGGACTCACTATTGTGGAGGGAGCTACTTGAAATTTGTCAGACAGGGGCCAGCACATCCCAGGGCCCCTCTACTCCATACCGATTAATAAACAGGATGGAAGAAAAGTTTTCTAGGCAATTTACATATTACAACATTGAGTCAATTATTCCCTAGGGCTGAACAGAAACTTGCTGTAATTTGTGGAAGACACCAGGCTGAGGTTGGGAGTAAAGGTCACGTTCTATTCCCATTCCCCAAATCCACTGGCCAGACCCCACCAGCTCCCTGCCCCGCACCGACGAACTGAGTTTCAAGACATTTAACCCCTCCCCCCCGGGGCCCCCTCCCTAACTCCAACAGCTGGAGACAAGGATTCCGAAATCAGAATCCGAGTTCTGACTTCCTGGTTCAAGAGAGGCACGCGCAGCCGGGACCAGGGTCCGCACGGTTACTTTAGGGAAAAAACAACAGCAACAAAACAAACAAAAACCTCTAGCTGGAGTTTTCAAAGGGACAGAGCTTTGGGGTGGGGTCGGGGGCAAGAGGGATGGGATCTGGCGCCTCTGGAGCGCCCTTGTGCGCACGCGGGGCCTCCCTAAATCGGTTTCCCGTATCCTCCCTGGGACAAGCCCGGAACTGAGGCAAGGCAGAGTTTGCAGATCCTACTCACCAGATCCTCCCAACTTCTCGAACCCCAGACTTGACCGCCCAAGGGGCAGAGAGCAAGCCGCAGGCCAGTGGTGCCCGGGCGCTGCCTTGGCGCCACCCCTTCCACCCGGCCGGCCCTTCCTGCAGCGCCGGGGCCAGGCAGCCGGCTGGCAACGTGGCCCTTCCCCGGGGAGGGCGGGCGGCCGAGGGGCGGGGCGGCACGCACGCCTCACCTCTTGCCTTGGGAGGCCCCGGCCCCGCCCCGTCTTCCTGGCCCGCCTCCTCTTGAACACTCCCCAATCACTTTAGTTTTCCTAGAGCCCCAACTTTGGGAGGCAGCTGTGGAGACAACTAGTATTTTTTCTCCCTTCCGCGCTTCCATTCGCAGTTGAACGGGTTGATACTCCGCCCCACCCACGCTCTCAACCCTTCCAGTTCAGACTTCCCAGCCAGAGCTCAGACGCGCAGCAGTGTGGATAGTAGGGCCTTGGCTAAACTCCAGGGTCAGGATCTGGGAGCCAGTTGCACCTCCACCCCAGACCAAGCCAGGCTTCAGAGTCGGAGCTGGGGAAAGCAGAGGGTCAGGGTGGGTGACACAGGGACAAGTGGCACCGGACCCAGAATGCAAAAAGGGAAGTCAGGAAGGAAGCACCTGCTGCCAAAGGCAGAGAAGAGAAACACACTGACATTTTTGCTGTTGGAGGTAGGAATTTAAGAATTAGTTACTGTCCCAAACGCTTAAGAAGTGGAAGGATCAACCAGGCTTCTGAGACAGACCTGTAAAAAGGGAAGGGAGGAAGTGTCCCTGAAAAGCACACACATATGGTAGTTTCAAGGGAAGAGAGCAAGAACCCAAACAACTAGAGAAGACATTCAAACCCCATGGCCACCAAGGAGCAAATGCTCAACAATAACCACCCGTGGCTCAAGCTCGGAGAAAAATCCGAGATAAAGAAGCGGAAGACAAGAAACCGCAGGGTCTGCCTTCAGAAAACTGAGCGGTTTCTTCAGGCAGCCAGGGCTGAGGCCCAAAGCCTGGATGCCAGGACAAGCGTTTCTAGAATTCAGAGGTTCCTGCAAACAAATGCTCTACTTCTCTTCCTTCTCTTCTGCATGAACGGTTCCCTCCCGCCAACACTGTCCCCCACGTGACCCTCTGCAGAAACCACGTCTGCCGAATACCTACAGGTGTTCCCACCTTAAGCGATCGTGGGCGGAGGGCTGGGAAATACTGGCTGCTGGACAGGTTCTGGAGAAGGACTGCGGCCACGTGGCACACTGATGTGAGACCCTCTATCTTCCTGGCTCCTCTGTGTTCCGTATCACAGAACAGCCAGGGACTCTGTGGTATGTGGTTACCGAAGGACTGTTGCCACTAACTTATTTCTGCATGAATCTAGGAATTGCAAGTTCTAAAGAAGCAAAGGTGGGCATACCCTAAAGGTCCTACTTGAAGGGGAAACACTAAAACATACCTGTAAACGGCCACAAGGCACCAAGGCCTCCCCAGGCCAGACCTGTTCCTCAGTTTCTCTCTAACTTTCCTACTTGCTCCGCAGAATGTACACAATCATCAAGTGGGAGGCTCAGAACACACATCCACTTGCTGAAGTCATAACCCTTAGGTTACAGACCCGTGCAGTCCTGCCTCCAAGCCACATACTTTCTCCTCAGTCATCCTTGAATGCTACTGTAGGACAGCCACATGCCCAGCTTGACAGCCTACAATGGGGCACCAGAAAGATCTTGGTGGAGCAGCTGAAGCCTCATCCTGGAAAAAAAAAATAGAAAAAGCTGACATATCAAGTGAAGCTAAACTATATATGTTCAAGGGTCTGCAATTCAGAGGACTGTGTCTCAAATCCATCTCCATTCATCAGGAATGGACCAGGGTCTCAGTACCACTGCCCTCTCTTTCCAATACTCTTATGAAAGGAGTTGGGAAGTGTGGGGGCTTAGCAAACCCAAATTCACTGTTAAGGTGTGAAGAACAATGATTGGCTCCTAACAGTGCAAAAAGTTGGTTAGTAATGGTTTATAGATTTGAGATGTAGGAAGCTAAAATCGCACCCAGCACAATGGCTCAATGGCTAGTTCTTCACATTGCATGTGCTGAGATCCCATCCGGGCACTGGTTCATGTCTAGGTTGTTCCACTTTCCATCCAGCTCCCTGGCTTATGGCCTGGGAAAGCAGTCGAGGATGGCCCAAAGCCTTGGGACTCTATCCGTGTGGGAGACCTAAAGAAATTCCTGACTCCTGGCTTCAGATCGGCTCAGCTGATATGGCTATTTGCGGAGTGAACCAATGAATGCAAGATCTTTCTCTCTGTCTCTCCTTCTCTCTGTTGCCATCCAGGAGAAAGGATAGACATAGTGGGGTGCTAAGGCAGGGAAAAACTGATCATCCCAGGACACTTTGAGAGTCTTACCTCCATCTCCATTAAGGCAAAGCAGTAGGAAACGGGAAGTGGACTTCCATGGAGAATACACTCACAGCCTGTATCTCTACAGTCTTCTGTAAAATCCCAAGGTACCGGGAGAACTACAAGTAGGAACTGTTTGCAACAGGACTATCCCAAGAAGAAAGGAACTGAAATGAGAATTGGACAGGCTGAACTGTTGGATAGTAGCAAGAGAAAATATTTGGTATTAGAGAAAAATTAAAAAGACATATGGCAAACTGATCTGGGAAAGGAGTCTCTGGAATCTTCACAGAAGTTTCATAAGGCAGAAGGGTAGGGAAGGAGCAAAAACTAGGAGCCAGATGCCTGGCTTCAGGGATGAGTCTGGGATCAGATTATGCACAAACAGGAAAAACAGCAGGAATATCTACTCACAGGCCAAGAGTGAATTAGAAGAGGCAACACTCTTTCCTGCCTGCCCCACCACCACCAAAAGAGGAAGTGAAAGAAAGCAAAGCTAAAATTGTTTCAGGAAACTGCTTTGTAAAACCCATTCCAAAGATACCTAACTTTTTAAATATGTAACTTTAAAAGAATTTGTGCTCCAAATTTAAGACAGGATTTTGGCCCAAAATCACGAGCAGAAATAAAAGCAGTGTTTTAAACCAGTTGTTTTAGATCCCTTTCTTCCTTATTCTCAAGGTCCCTGTCCGCTCCCACTGCCATGGAGATTCAGAAACAGCTCAAGGTCAAAGAAAGAAGAGATGAACACAATAATCATAGAATAATGTCGACAAAATGCAACTTTTGGATATTTATTTACACTTCCTTTTGGAATGATAGAGAATACAAGCACTTTCAATTAAAATGCAAACATTTATCAAGACCTGGTAAATGCCTTATCTTGGCATCCTGGCACTCCTGTGAGAAGGCTGATGGCTGCCTGGGCAGGACTGTTTCTCAGAAAAGTCAGAGTACAGTTCAATAGAAGTGCAGGGTACAGGAATTCTTGCCCCTTCGGTAAGAGTGTACTAGCTCACACAGAGGCCATCTGACAAGACAGAGGTTCCCTGTGGAGGTCTGCAGCAGAACCCAGGCGAGCCTTTGTGTGGTCAGATGCTGTAGAAACGGCACAGCACTGCACTAATGACTTCACTGTCCACCTCTCCACTCTTAATGCAAACCATTCCTTCTCAGTGCTTCTGTAGCTTCTCTTCATCAGGGAAAATAATCCCTCCTCTGTCTTCCTCACAGCAAAATGGTGAGGGCAAATTGATACAACAGGCTGGATACTCCATGCAGTATAAAACAATTAACACACAACTCACTTCAAGCGCTTCAAAGCACTAAGAAGACAGCTCAGCCTCCCAGGCAAAATGGGGAAAGGCTTCTAGGACACATTGGGATCTTAGAGAAGGCTGAGGGAGCCATCGCAGAATCCCAGGGTCGCAAGAGATTAACTCTGAGTCCCCACTCCTAGGCAAAAAGTGGAACATGGAAGCACACCTTCTCACGTGGTAGGTTAGCTTCAGAAAGGATATACCCAGCATCAAACCACAGGAGAAAAAATAGTTCAGGACCAGTGACTCCATCTGAGCCTCTGGCTAGCACTCAGGCTGAGGGTAAAAGAGGAAGGTTGGGACTCTGACAGGAAGGGAGGAAAGAGGGGGGAAGAGAGAAGAAAGAAATTCAGCAAACAATTAAAGCCTAAATACAGGATTTTACATTTGCAATTGAACTGTCATCAGTTTCTCAAAATGTGGACCAAGCGTTGCTGAACTAGTCAGAGGCAGAGATACCAGAATCCAAGCTTCCCGGCCTTCACTCGGTCCTGCAAACCCTACTGTCTCTCAAAGCTCTCAAAGCTATGTCCTACTCTCTTTGAAACTGTTATCACTGAGAAAAGCAAGCATCTTAAAACAGGCAAACTGGAATTTCAGAAAGGAACAGGCAGCAGGTAAGATAACCTTGTTTGAAGTGGGAACACAGCCTGCAAAATTATGAAACTTAAAAGAGATCTCAGCTTTCAAAAAATTGTCACCTTAAAAGACGAGGCTACTAGCCCAGTATGATGGCTCAGTGACCAAATCCCCTCCTTGCACATACCAGGATCCCACATGGGCACCACCAGTTCGTTCATGTCCTGGCTGCTCCACTTCCCATCCAGCTCCCTGTTTGTGCCCTGGAAAAGCAGTAGAGGATGGCCCAAAGCCTTGGGACCCTGCACCTGCATGGGAGACCTTTGAAGATGCTCCTGGCTTTGGTATGGCCACTTGTGGAGAGAACCAGCAGATGAAGATCTTTGTCTCTTCTCTCTGTAAATGTGCCTTTCCAATAAAAAGAAATAAACCTTAAAAAAAGAAAAAAGACTACAACTGGGCTATAGCACAGGAAGGAAAAAGATCACTGAAGAAAATGGAATTTCATCTCTTAACCAAAACGTGTGACTTTACTCCTTTTTAACTTGCTGTCTCAGAAAGCGGCACATAGAACCTGTCGATTTAAGTTCTCGCAGGATGGACTGACCTCTTCTACAAGATGACCCTAGGTCAGCAAGATGACAGAACGCAGGACAGACTTCTTAATTAAGGACAACTTCTAAGACATTTGCTAGCACACAAATTCAACACAAGAAATCAAATCAAGTAATGTCAATACTGGTATTTAGCCCTTGGCACTTTCCAAAATTTTTCCACTTTCTTCTCATTTTAACAACCTACGAGGGATTTGGAAAGTTATGCCCATTTTCCAAATGAAGAAAACACAAGGAGATTAATCAGCATGTGTAGGGTTGCACATTGACTAAAAAAGTTGGAGTGGAAAATAAATGCTACTGAATTCCCAAACTTGTGTTCTGTTTTCCGCAGTCTGTAAAGTTTCATGGCCTAAATTCCCTTGCAGGGTCAAGAAGCGGAAAGGCCATTCACCAACTTAACACTGTTTCCTGCCCCTCATCCTCCCGTTGGCCTCCCAAACAGAACAGCCTATCTCTGCATAATCCACTGCACAGTCTTAGCTGTGACTGACTAGGAATCCTATTACCTCACCGGCGAAAAAACCTTTTAATCCAATGACCTTACAGAAGCCAGAATTCTTTGCATGTTCTCCTTGGCCTGATCTCACAACTACCATTTGCTACCAGTCGTTTCCAGTGTAACTCTATAGTCTCAATAAGGTTGAAAACAAGTCACTCTTGAAGGAGTGAAGGAGAGGTGAAGGTTCCTGTGTGCCCATCAGGATAAAGGTGCCCATTAGGGCACAAGAGCCACTCTGACTTTCCAAATGACAGTGTTCCCAGACTTGCCCCACTCAACACTTTCTGCACAGGCACAGCAAGACGCACTCAGTGGGCAATGACACGAGAACCTTACCTTTCTTTTCTCTGTTGCTCCCCAGGATGATCAAACCCCCACTGAGCACTTCATTGCCACAATGGAGTATTCCAAATCAAAGTGTAGCTTCCCTCCTCTTCTCCAGGTCAAGTCCATGGCAGAGCGGACCCTGAGGGGGAGGAGTCTTGGGGGGAAGGGGTGTGTCCAAGCCCCTCCCCCCCACACGTGGCAGGCTTCAGCGTCCCTCTCAGGGGTCCTTTACATCCCTTCATTCAGCTGGTGATGGGGAGATCCCAGGGACTAGCCCATCTCTTGTTCAGGAAGTCATCCGCTGAGAAGCCTGGCCCATCTGTCTTCTGCTGGGACTCACACGAGGAAATAGGCCTTAGAAGTGGCATGGCCCGGGGGAAGCTGGTGTCTGTGTTGTCCTGCAGAATATTTAAACGTTATGACATTCTCTAATCTTAACATAGAGCCAAATGGATTCCTAAGACGTTGTAATTCCTTTCCTACATAAACTGGAGCACAACGTTCTATCGTCATACAAAACTTTCATTTAGCACTCTACAAAGTTACACCAAGTATTTCATTTGCATTTGCACCACATGAGTTACTCATCGATATACATGCACATAAATGGCTCAAGATAAAAGTGTCTCTTCTCACTGGAGACCATGAACCAAAACTACTAACGTATATGGAGATTGTCTTCTTTATGGAAAAAAGAGAAAGAAAAGAATGTTTTCCAGTTATTTAGAGCACCACACAGTCATCGAATCCTTCAAGCTTCTCAAATAATTTAAGAGATTCGAGTTGTCCTCCACTGAACCCAGTGCTTCCCACAGCGGAAGCCTGACGCCTTCCATATGCATTTCATGGTCCTCTTCCTCCAGCCCTCACATCCCTCTCTGTTTCGGAAAATTATGTCAGGCATATAATTCCCACTTTCTGTCAAACTCCTTCCCGAGGCCACTCCCTGGCACTCCCTGGACGGAGGCCTCCTGCTCGCAGTGGCCCCACGGTGTTCCAATTTCTCAGTCCGGGAAGCCAAACTCTTGTCCCTGTCGCCCCCCTCCCATCTAAGTTTATCCAGTCTCACACTCTCCGTGCCTCACACTCTCGCTAGCTCTCTCACTCACTCTCTCACACACACACACACACACACACGCACACGCACACACACCCTTCCTTCCTGTAGGGGCGTGGCGTCCACATGCCCCCCCCAGGATTTAACTCCTCCCACCCTTCCCCCCCCCACACCCCGCGCTCACGGTTCTCGGGCAGTGACAGCACGACCCTCCCCATCCTCGGCCCTCTCCCCGGGCTCGCCGGGCCCTCACCTGGACGTCGCCCCGCGCCTCGGCGGGGAGCCGCAGCGGGCCCCGCCTCGCAGCCCAGGCCGCGGGCCGCTCCCCATCGCCGGCCAGGCCCCACCCCCTCGACCCCCGGCGTCCCGGCCCTCCCCTCGCGCTTCCTCCCCCCCGCCCCCCGCTCCGCAACCACTTCCGCCCGCCTTCCGGAAGTGGGCTGGCGGCCACGACGGCCTGCCCACCTCCCGCCGCGTCCCTTTGGCCTCACACCCCCAGGCCATCACCGCCGCCACCGCGGGATCGCGGAGGCTGTGCTACGAGTCAGTGTTCACGGGGCTGAAGACCAGGTGTGGGCAGAACCAGGTCAGTGTGTGAACGCGGAGCTGGGGACGCCGAAAAGCGGCTGTACCAGGGGGCGGGGCAGAGGACGGCGCTGCGCGTGAGGGGAGGAAGAGCGCATGCGTGGCGAGCCGCGCCGAGGCCCGCGTTGGAGGGGGCGGGGCGGGAGGCGCGGCCGGACGCGGAGCGGGAGCGTGCGGGGAGGCCGGCCCCGACCCCGACCCCGACCCCGACCCCAACCCCGATCCCAGTCCCAGCCCTTCGGACCTCTAGGACCCCTCGGACTCCCGGCCCTCGCACCCCGAGTCGCCTCACGACGCCTCGGCTCCCGGGGTTGCGGGCGAAGGCAGGGGTTCGAATCCCGCAGCTTCCGCCGGCGAGAATGCATCAGGAAGCGGCAGGGTCTGCCTTGCGGGGAGCTGGTACTGAGCCTTCTGTACAGCAGTACCAGAAGATAATTGCTTGGTTTTCTCAGACTTTCAGTACTGAGAATGTAGTATTTGCTGAATCCGGGACCTAAGGTAATTTTTTTTTTTTTTTTTTTACATTGGAGCGGTGCCATAATATCTGGAACATCTTTAAAACAAAATGTAAAAAGAAAAAATGTATCGCACTACACTCGTAATTTCCTGATCTTCCTCCATCACCCGACTTGTGCTGCTCTGCCGGCTTTCCCAGTAGAGTGTAAATGACAACTCCCACCGAAGCGCCCAGAGCCATTTTCTGCGCAGTCTGTGTTGAGGTCTTGTTAGCACCCCAGTCCCCAGTGCCTTCAGCCCTCCCCAACAGCCTGGTCCAATACAGAGCAACCATCTGGGCATCCCTGGGCCCAGAACCCTACACTGGCCCTCAGTCTTTTATAACAGCCTACCGGCCCCCACACCAACACCGACCGGCTTGCTTACCCAGCCTGGACTCCTCACTCCTGGCCCTTGCCTGTCGCCTGCAAGGCCTTGGCTTTCACTGGCCTCCACTTTCACAGCTGGATCAGGTATGCGCATGCCTCCCCATCTCCTTCCGGTATTTGTGGACAGAGTGTTACACCTGCCTCTCCACCTGCCGCATCTTCCCACAGTATTCGTGTATCACTAAATGCTTCTTATACTTGTATTTCCTACTTCTTGTCCTTACTAGGATTTAGGTTCCATGACGGGAGGCATGATTCTCTGCTATATCCCAAGTACCTAGAATACTGCCTTGGGTCATATTCAGTGCTTAACGCATAAATGATTTTTTTTAAAGATTTATTTATTGGGCCCGGCAGCGTGGCCTAGCGGCTAAAGTCCTTGCCTTGAACGCGCCCGGGATCCCATATGGGCACTGGTTCTAATCCCGGCAGCTCCACTTCCCATCCAGCTCATTGCTTGTGACCTGGGAAAGCAGTCAAGGACGGCCCAAAGCTTTGGGACCCTGTACCCGCGTGGGATACTTGGAAGAAGTTCCTGGCTCCTGGCTTCAGATTGGCATAGCATCGGCCGTTGTCGTCACTTGGGGAGTGAATCATCAGACGGAAAAATCTTCCTCTCTGTCTCTCCTCCATTTATTTATTTTTATTACAAAGGCAGATATTACAGAGAGGAGGAGGAGAGAAAGAGAGGAACATCTTCCATGCAGTGGTTTACTCCCCAAGCAGTGGCAGCGGCTGGAGCTGCACCAATCCAAAGCCAGAAGCCAGGAGCTCTTCTGGGGTCTCCCACGTGGGTGCAGGGTCCCAAGGCTTTGGGCCGTCCTCGACTGTTTTCCCAGGCCACAAGCAGGGAAGTGAAAGGGAAATGGAGCTTCCGGTATTAGAGCCGGCACCCATATGGGATCTTGGCGCATTCAGGGTAAGGACTTTTAACTGCTATGCTATGGCGCTGGGCCCAAACAAATGAATTTCAAGAGCCATTTTCACTACAGAATATTCCTGTCCAGGCTATTCTCATCTGCAGTTACCTGAACTTAATTATAATGTACACATATTGCCATGTGATTTTCAGTCATGCCAAAAATATGGTCTCTTTTTCTAAGTATTTTTATAATCATCATTTATACTTTTTGGTATGCTTAGGTTTTATATACATCTAATAAAACTAAACACTTGTATAAAAAATTTTTATGACCAGT